TAATTATTTGCCTCTATTCAGGTGGAGCCCATCCCAACCAACTGAGGTGAGTCGACCGTATAATGATATTCGAAAAGGTGCTCGCAGTGAATGTAACCAGACTCCTTCCGGCGCTTATTTCGCGTTGTCTTAACATGCGCGAAGATGAGGATCGAGGACAGCAAACAGAATTCCGGACTGAAAGGGGCTGTGCGAGCCAGATTTTCACACTCCACTGTGTTAAAGCAACGACATGAGCATAAACGCACTAAACCTTTCTTTTCTTCAGTAAGGCGTTTGATTTAGGCAACCAGTAAGTTCTTTTCAACACATCTGCGCAGTATGGTATGACCCAGGAGTTCGTGAATATCATGCTGTTTGTATTCGCATATTTATGGACATATGAAGGTGTACAGAGAGCTCTTCAAAAGCTTTACCACAAGAAGTGGTGTCCGAAAAGGTTACTTACTCTCCCCACTTTCGTTTAATTTCGTTACTGATGAAGTATTGATGTGAAATCTGGGACGCTTCCGAAACCCCGGTCTTCAGATCTCTCCGAGCGAGGATTTTATTAACAGAGAATATACTGACAACATTGTCCTCATTTTTGAAAGAGCAGGAAGCGACTGGAACAAGTGAATTCGGAATGAAGTTATCAGGAAACGAGGTGGCCGAGGTGGCCGGACTGTGTTACCGTCCGCAGAGAACAGCCTTAGTCTGACTTGGAGTGGAGGTAACTTGGAAGTGGACATAACATTAAGCATAGAAGAATAGTAAGTACGCTATCAGAAGTAAGAGAGCGACCACTTTTCAGGATGGTGCCTGCGTGTACTCGACTCAACGCATTGAAAAATAAGGGCGGCTAACCGATGGCAGTGACACTAATGCTGTCACTTTCCATCCACGTTTTTCTACTGAGTGATGGAGATGGACGCACCCCGGAAGTCGGTGGTAAGCCAGCTCTCGACTCTCTCCCTGTCCAATTTTCCTTTTTTCTACTTATTCAAATAGCGATCTGGTTGTAAGGCAATGGTGCACCACAGTTCACGTCTGGTGCTGCCAAAAACGTTGATATAGATAACGAATATTTCGCTAAATACATCCATTTACAAACTACTTATTTTCGACGGAAGACTTAACTGAATACTAGCTGTCTCTCGTTTACAATATTCCTTCACCTAGGATTCAGCTGAATCTTCTGTCGGAACGAAATCCGTTTGCAAATGAGTGTACGTATGAGTGTGCGTATGATTTGGGTTCAAGTAGGACATAGGGCTGACGAAAACTCAGGGACTGAGTTTACCTGAAGAAGGAAGAAATCGGTTGTGGGCTGCCGAAAAGAGCTTCAACAATCTTATAAGTAGTGTGTTCCGCCTCAACGATAAACATCTGGCTCACGATAACAGCCAACCAGGACCCCGCTTCCGCGCTCCTCAAGGTTAGGTAAGGTCTTGTGCGTGACCTAGCGTTCTGATGTTGTCGGTCAGATTGCATCACAAGCGGAAGTCATAATAATTTCGGACAGTGTCGAAGGTAGAGGTAGAACCGATAGGTGTATTTGTCGTAAGGGATTACAATGGACAGTTCTGACGGACTGGCCTCAGACTGGTCCTCAGATTTTTAATCGGCAAATATAGTTAGCTACTCCCCAAAGGTCAAAATTTAGACAGTGACAGACGCGCGCATGACAAAAAGAGGCGTTCAGAACAAACTAAAGCTGGCGATTGATCTACGCCATCAACAGCTAATGGCGATGTGGTTTGTTTGCATTTGGGGACTGCACACACCGATATTTCAGTAGTCAACAGAGAGACACTTTTCGATCAGAATAAGAATGCAGCATGGATTGAGGTGACCACCAGACTGTAACTCAGTAACGATGGTCAGTACCGGAATAAGCATCATCAACAGTAACACGTAACAAGCACTGGAGCTGCGAGAAAAAAATGTCCTAGTAAAAAGTGGAAATAAAGGTGAATAGTGGGAAATTGGTACTTTTCGTTTTGTGCTCCTAGGTGAAGCGATCAACTTGGAAGTGCCTAAACCTTGGAACGCTAATAATATGAATGCATCTAAGCACACCGGAGCAGGAGTTCATCACTCGGATTGGTCCAACGCCCCTTGAGAACCTCATCCAACACGAGCCAAGCACATAACAATAACATAATAGTAATAATACTAATAGCGGTTGAGCTCTAAATTCTTTTCGGTGCACAAATGCTGTGCCTCCCGAAGTGTCAGGGCTGAGATACTGCCCTGTTGCACAAGCCTAGATGGGAGCAGTCGAGATACCGGAGTTGGATTTGAACCACAGACCTTCTGGTCAATCACTTCGCGCCTTAGCAAATGAATCACCTCGAGGCATGACAATGGACAAAGATTGCCTATGCAGATCGGCTAGGAAAGGAAAGCATGCTTGCAACGGAGATAGATTACTTGCTATGCCCTGTAGGGCTTCCAACCATGTGCGACAAAAAAACAATCAAGAAGACACAAAGCTTGACAGCCGCGGCTTTCGTCTCACCAAGCAATTGCCTCTCCCACAGGAAGCTTTCGCCAATAAAATCCCGGAATGAAAAACAGTGCTTTCTTCGGTAAGCGGTCGTCGGGCATGCGTAGTACATGCCACAACCAGATCAACCCGATAAGCCCTATCCGCTGCTCTGATTCACTACCAAATACCCGCCGACTCACCACTTCAATATGCTAACGCTTCAACCGGAAGACATTGTTGTGTCACAAGGATATCAGCCCGTAGCCATTTATAATCTTTGTATCAGAGGAGACAGGCTGCTCAGCCCTAAAGTAAGACTGCTATCGCAGTTGTCTTATACTCCAGGTCATTTAGGCGGAGTATTTTGTTCGCGGACCGATGATGCTTGCGTTGAAATCTGCCATAGTAATCAGAACTTATGCAGCTGACCAGACGGTGGACAGGTCAACTAACTCAAGTTCCTCAAAGTGATGTTTTAGAGAAGTACAACTGGACCGAAAATCATACAGAAAAATCTCCCACTTTGAAGGTTCAAAACAACCTACCTAGATGTGCTCACATTATTGAAACGATAGCATTTATGGGCTTTTAGGCCACTGCAGAAGAGTCGTTCAGCTGTAACACCCTTCCGGTGCCTAGCTGCCATGCTTCAACTAACTCAAGTTCCTCAAAGTGATGTTTTAGAGAAGTACAACTGGACCGAAAATCATACAGAAAAATCTCCCACTTTGAAGGTTCAAAACAACCTACCTAGATGTGCTCACATTATTGAAACGATAGCATTTATGGGCTTTTAGGCCACTGTAGAAGAGTCGTTCAGCTGTACCACCCTTTCGGTGCCTATCTGCCATGCTACCCGAAGGTTGCACGAGGGCTGGGATACTGCCAGGTTGCCCAAGCCTAGACAAGGGAAGTCGAGATTCAGAGGTCAGGTTCGAACCACGGACCTTCCGGTCAGTAAATTCGCGCTCTAACCACTTGGACCATCTCGTTCCTGCAGCAAAGTATTCAGGGTAGCAATTTCTGACAATGTCAAAGACCGTCAATACCTAACCGATTAAAATGAAAACAACGGTTACAGCAAAGCTCACCAAACCAATCACCTGTAAGCTAATAATTCTTCTCTTATCGTCCCAAACGGAGTGCTATGGCAGCACGAGCTGCTTCTGGGAGAGTGTAACTAGGAACAACACATGCCAGACAAAGCAGTCAGTTGGATTATGGAAACTCGCTTCATCTAAGTCTCGTGGACTAATAAAAAGAATAAAGAAAGTTCAGTCAAGAGCAGCTTGCCATTCCAATATGAGATGTACGCGGCATAGGAAGCGGAAGAGCACATTGTATCCACAACGGTCGTTTTTTGGGGTGATCGGTAGTCACTGTGGCTAACGGAGTTGTACATTCTTTTAAAGGAATTGTTAGAAGTGAAGTTGGATGCGGGGGGAAACATAAATAGGCCCCAGTAATAGCGTTTATGTACTGCCAACAATACCGTGAACAACAGTGAACAAGGCAACAGGGCATATGACACTATGCAATGAATAATGACACAAACTTATGTTTTGGGTTTAAGTCATCGTTGTACATGAATGGACTGCTACAGGCCAAAGAAACTCTGGATTGGAGGACAAAAAGGCTTTTAAGTAAAACTTTTAGCCCACGATGGCGATAGTTGGTTTGAAGCAACCAGTCTAACTTACGAGAAGGAATTCACCAAACATGTTCCTAGATGTTTAGGAGACTTAGTCAGACACATCTGTTAATCAGTATGACACGAGACCGCGGAGCTCATGTGAATATCTGTAATATAGTTCACTGTATTACAGAGATGTGGATAACGTTACCCCGGGGTAAAATCCAGTGTGGAATTCCAGAGTTAGAACACACTTCGGTGGTGGAAACAAATAAAACACGGATTTCTGTGTTGTCTATTCCAAACACCTAAGCCTTTTCCAAGAGCAACTAACTGCAGAACAGAAGGAAAATGTATAGTTTCCCATATGTTTTAAACCTAAGTTTTCACGATATTCTGATGATTCATCGGAGCTTCCAGTGAATTTGAATACAACAAAAGTAAGCAGCGAAATAGTAGCGAAATAGACTCACTTGTACACCAATTTGGTTTTGACTCACCTGGAACCAAGCTGAATCTCTCGAGGACTGTCCCTACCTGATGAGTTCCATAAAGGGCGAAATCCGTCGTGGGCTGTCGAAAAGTTTCCAACAACCTTATGAATAGTGTGTTACGTCCATACAATAAGTAAGTAACTTCGCTCAGAGGATCGAATCTCGAATGACCAAGATACAAACCAGAGTAATACACTGAAGAAAACAGCCCGACTGCGTGATCAGGGTAAGGTAACCGAAGAGACAACCAACAATAGACAAAAGTAGTCGTGATTTGGAACATCTAAGAAGCCGGATCGATTTTATACAAAAGATAACCTAATTGAAATAATGAGACATAGGCAACTGAAACTGTCAGAGAAAAAAACATCCGGAAGATGAAGTTCCGGATTGAACCCACCTTTCAAGGTCCCTCGAATTATTCTGATCATATTGATCTTGGGATTATCGCGTCCTGTCTAAAGAAGCGAAGACGAAAGTTGGTTGTCCAATAAGCAAAGTCAACCTACCCTCAAGAAATTGAGTGTTATGGAGTCCCTTGAGATCGGTGTAGATGATTCACCCACATGCAAGACACCATCGGCAATCCGAAAAGGGAAGTCATAAACCAATCCTGTGGCGAACCCGACTTCATTGAAAATATCCAGATCCTGTAGTAGGGTTATCTCCTTATTCAGCTGAACGTCGAACACCTGAAATTAGTTTCGTTATAAAGAGACATCTGAAGACACAAACATGGAAATATATCAGTCTTCGGCAGATAGAGAGGCATCACAGATAAAAGTATAGAGTATACCATTAAGATCATTCTATGCAGACTACCAGTGATTGAAATGCCAACTCCATTAGCAATCACGTGAGAAGGCTTACTAAGTAAAGTTGAGGGGAACAACGCACTCCTATGTAACTTACAATCTGTTAGGTCTTTTCCTACACGCGGTTACGTTGTGTCACGAGCCGAGTATAACTCGTTAAATATAGCCGTGGATGTCTCTAGGCGTAAGTGTCATCTTTCAGTTCGCTCCGTACTTATTCCTTGGGTTAAGGTGCAGCCTGTTGGTCGACAGGTATGTAGTTAAATACCAGACTTTCGGCTAGCCTCGCATAAAGCTGGGAAACCTGGTGAACCTTGTCTCTGTAGCTCATTCGAATCACAAGACGGCTACATGCCAATGTGACTTTGGTTTCTGGAACACGTAAAAGGGGACCTGCGAGGCGAGCACTGGTAGCAAACCAGCAATTTTGTCGATCCGGAGTTAAACTGACTGAAAGGACCCGTAGTAACTGTGTCTGTTTTATTTAGACACTCTTAATGTTCTGTTTCCGTGTTTCAACTGCTGTACCGTCACTCGAAGTTCTGTGAGGATACGACCTGGTGTTCAAAAATCTATTGAAGCAAAACTTTGAAGGCTCTGCATCAATTTGACCTCAATGTCCTGAAACAACAGTACAAAAGTGGATTATTGTGCATTTTGGATTTTTCAAATCAAATGCAATCAAACAGAGAACGCAGTTCCGTGGGGCTAATCTTCCTGGGATTTGGCAAATAAATCTAGATTAACTCTTGAGATATCGGAAAACGAATGCTCAGTGAAGCCAGAGTCACAGTGGAACCACCCTCAAATGCGGGTAGGGATTATCAACGTAAGTTTCCGACAATGTAACGGAATTCAAAATGTCTACAATCTTATGAAAGCTCCGGGAATATGGTTCATTCACTCAGGAGCGTGTGAAGTTCTACCGTCCCGTACCGAAGTAAAAAATTCGTTTGTATTAAGTTTTGCCAGGTGCGAGAAACAACCGTACTAAACGGAATTGTTTTACAATTGAAGTGCACAGACAAATGCCATACCTTTTGATTGGGCTCAGCGAACCAAACCTCTGAAAATCCCAGAGTGAGAACATAGGATCCGTCACCTAGGTGAGGCAAATCATAGGAAAAGTGGTCAGTGTGGAAGCGTTCGGTTTGAAATAAAATCTGATCTTCCATCCTCACTCGGTTGATCACTAGCTGGCGCCCGTACTCTGACGCGGTACCCTGTAACAGAGGGTCGGCAATATATTCAATCCCATGAACGTCAATATGGGCTGGACCACCACAGTTTACAGCCCACACGACTTCCGCCCAAGTGAGGGGAGTAGCTGTGAGTAGGAATATACAGAAACCAGTGTTCCAGAGTGTGCAATCCATGGTCACCTCACCGCAAGGGAAATCTGCAGAACAATGTAGCCATAGATAAGTTCGAAATCAAGACAAGAAATTCCAACAGATGCTTCGGTGTATTTCTCACCCAAAAAGTACAAAGTGGTGCTGGAACACTGAACAGGGTCAAGGCCAACCTTGTGGTTGTAGATGAGCAGATGGTGGATGTAAGTTGTCAGTCCCGTCGGGCTAAAGATAACATTACGACCCGGATAGATAAGGCACAGGCAGCGTTTGCTAACCTGCAAAACCCATGGAGTAGACACAATCTTAGCTTGCCTGTCATTGACCAAGTGCCAGATTGCTTTCTGCAGCAGTATGGATCGGAAACTCAGCAACCACAAATCCGGCTGCTTTTGCTGGGTTTTTGTTGCTAGTAGTCTCGGACGAATACGAGAAAATTTATTCTGAAGCCCTTTAAGAACCTCTAACTTGCGTAAAGATGAAGTACCCGTCCGAACAAATCGGGTTCCCCAAGACCCCCCGTGCTTAGCTGGAGACATCGCAAGAAACGGCGGCTAATCAGCTAGTCTGTGAAGTTCATTAAGTCTGTTTCTTTCCATAATATCTACTTGAGTGGTTGAAAGTGTAAGCGCCTCAGAATGCCTATGAGAGGCTAGCACCAGATACCTCGCTCATCTACTGTTTTCCCTTCTTTTAAATCAAATGTGTTAAATATCATTAATAAAGTTTGTCGTTGTACGGCAGCCAAGCATCAGTGGTAACACTGATGCCTCTGTCTCTGGAGATGATGCCAAGCCGTGTGAACACGGTGACCGACGACATTAGATTATGACTCACGAGGAGTATTGACGAGGGGAAGGACCGACATGTACATGATAGGTTAGGAGTATAAGCATCAATATGACGTCACGGATTCTTAGAGCGAACTGGACACCACAAACACACGGGTCTACAAATACATATACTGTGACCAAAATTAATGAACAGCTTGGTGAACGATGTGAGGTTGCGCCAGAAACAAAAAAGTAGACGGGCCATCGAACCTAACAACAGTGTGTGACAATAAACGCAGTTGCCTGACTGGGCTTCTTGATTGCGACTGGGATCGCCTATAGTTGCAGAGGAAAGCTAGGACCAGAGCGAGCAAATAACATACTAAAGGTACAGAACGTTGGATTACGACAGCCTAATTTGGTTGCATCAGCAACTCAGACAGATATCAGAGTGAAACTGGAATGAAAACTCGAAAACAGAAATCGAAGTATCTGAAGCAAAAATAATAAGTAAATGCTCCCTCTATAACATGTGCGGTAAACCGAAGTCAATGACATAGTCGCACGACTACCAGTCTTGATGTGCTTGAAAGACACCGGGACTGCATGACCGTTCGCACAGTCAGCAGCTGGATGGGTGGGCTGGGAGTCAGGGATGGCAAAAGAATACCGGTGAACCAGACCAGCATCTTCAGGATTCTACCAGTCGATACGGAGAGCTTTAGGTCCACTATGTGCCGGGTGTTACGTTTTTGTACGGTAAGATCAACGACTATTCGCGACTTGGGAACAAGCGCGTGAATCCCCATTTCTGATGAGAGCCCAACCACTCCTAGCGCAGAGAGAATACTGGACCTTCGGAGGAGAGCCTCTATTACCTCAACCAAAGGCGAAGTACATCGGCAGCATCTTAATATATATTGTGGGCAACTTCGGGGAACAGTGAATTCGTTAGCACATGCAAAGTGCAACTGGCCGATAGGACACAAGCACGGTATTTTTGGAATAGACCGGAACATGGTGAAAAGGGCACAAAATTTAGAACTTCAAGTATTCAGAAAATAAATTCGGAAATAACTCGAAAAGCAAACGGTTTCCGGGGATACTGATATCCCCAACACCTCCCCTCGATGAAAAAGTCAGTAACACAGCTTTATTGCATCAATCTGAAAAAGAGCCGTTTGACGTCGGGGGTGGTCCCTCTCGCTGGAAGAAGGGTGACGTGTTATGTCGTATCCGGCTGGGTCACATCAAACGTGATTGCCTGTGGTTCAGAAGTGTCGAGAACAACGTCGAGCGGTAGGTTTCTATGGCAAGCTGGTTGATGACATGAACAGAGTTGATTCTTGTATCGTATCCAGGTAGCTTGGCCAAAAGAGACGCCATACATTACGCTCCCGCGTGCTTGAAGGACAAACTTTTATACAGGGCTCTTGCCTTGGCCGATGCTCTCGTACAAAAATAAGTGCACCAAATTCAAACTGCCTTTTTGTGTTTATTGTGGGCCGGAAGATATGGCTAAATTGATAGTCCGCAATATTCGGCACATGATGGCTCCGGAAGGCGATTTCAGATCTTCCAAAGTCATTCGGAGTCGAGCGGCAGACCAGAAGAGAAGCTTGACGGATGACCTCTCTCCGTCACGAAGAGACTGGACCTTACCGTGGTGTGGCGGTTTGTGTACCTCATCGACCCATTGAGCTATACTGGGGAGTGTCCGCACGATGCTCACAGAGTCTCTCATACTAGGTTGGTTCATGGGTAAAGGTCCGGCGAACACAGTCTCCCGGCCTTCCAGGTTGGGGGTTGGAACATGTGGCGACTTGTTCCGTAGAAATGGTAATGCACTTGCATTTGCCGCCAAACACCGCTGCCTTGCGGTTAGGCTTT